CATTTGTCCCGGTGCGTAGGTTCGTTTCTTCTTAAACATCCTGTCAAATTCTGGACATACCATGGCATTTTTCAAGCCTTAACGGAATTCTACAATAGTCGACCAACCACACTATCCACTCTTGCGGTATAACCCTGGCTCACTCTCAAAACTATCCTTTTAAACCTAAGCTTTAGGGGGCGTCGGTGGCCGCAAGGTTTAGTCTTTGACACGGTAAGGTAAAGATCCCGACCCTGCATTCGAACCCGACATACTTACAAATGGGCTTTTTTTCAAAAACACCGGCACCCTGAGGGTTTATATAACCTCAACTGTTGCGAACCCTCGTTTAAAAAAAAATTAAATTAAAAAAAACCTAAGCTTTAATTTCCAGAAAAAATTCTCTTCTAATTCTTGTACAAGCCTGAAGAACAGGTGATCGCAAGACAATCATGTGGCATAAAGACTCTTCGGAGATTTTGATTTTTGTATGGAAATTGTAATGGAAATAAACTTATAACAAAGAATTAAAGCATACTATCACCGAGTGTTTCTGTCGCTTCGGCCTCTCCTGTTCGAATTTAGTGCGAACAGTTTAAAACACCTACTCTGCATACAAAAAGCCAGGAATCGCTTACTTTACCTTGGAATGTACAAGCTGACATGTCCGCGTAAACTGGGCCAATTCAAAAGGGTCATTTATTATGGTTATTGTTTCTAGGGCCATAATGCCTCTAATTAATCAGAACGGACGAGTAGGCGAGGGTTTAACAGCCTTGCCAGCGTTCTTCAACATGTGCAATTGACAGCTATTGTCCTTTGAACTGATTCAACTGTAAAATGATACAGGCGGTTTCTTATTGAAAAAGATTCGCGGACAATGGGACAAAAACTGGAGCTTGGTTATTCACTCGTAAAGTGAATCCTTCACAATCATCCGCTCAAATGAAATTCAAAAGAACTAAAACGAAATCCAACGTAATAAAACTCTTTTTATTGCGCGACTTCAAGACTTCTTTTCGACGTCTGACGTCTATGTTCAAGAAACCAGTTAAAGACTTTTTAATTCTTTACAACAGTTAGTTTTTAGTCGGATTTTATTTATAGTTTTATTAATAAACACGTTAAATGCAATTGGTTTGTGGGTTAACTATAACATAAGAGTTAGGCGCTAGGAAAAAACGTCAAACTGGAAAGAAATTATTCTTCAGTTAAAAGAGTAAAAGTCCAAAAGGTGCACTAAACATTTAACAATATTCATGAAAGAACAACTAACAGCAAAAATAATTTTTCAATCCTGAAAAAACACATTATAAAATAATATTAACAAGTTAGCTTTAGTGAAAGTATACTTCATGTTAACATATTAAATTCACTAGTTTTCGTGGTCCGCTTGACCAATTATTATCTTTCAATTAATTAAGGTTTTTAGTTGAGATAAAAAGTTGAGTAGCGGCGTAGCTAGCCGAAGGTCGTGAGTTCGAATCGCGCTCGTGACATTGACTTTTTTATCTCAACTAAAAACCTTAATTAATTGAAAGATAGTAATTGGTCATTAACTAGTTTTCGTGGTCCGCTTGACCAATTACTATCTTTCAATTAATTAAGGTTTTTAGTTGAGATAAAAAAGTCAGTGTCACGAGCGGGATTCGAACCTACGACCTTCGCCTACATACTTTGCTACTCAACTTTTTATCTCAACTAAAAACGTTAATTAATTGAAAGATATCAATTGTTCAAGCGGACCACGAAAACTAGTGAATTTAATAAGTTAACATGAAGTATACCTTCCTAAAGCTCTCCGTGGCCATTTCATTTGTCGCCGAGAATCAAATTGATTTCACGACATTTGAAAATTGGCTAAAAGGAGGGAAAATGTAAAAAGGTGGGGTTGAGATGGGAAGTTAGTGTCCGAGTGGATCGAGGTCACGATAGTTCAAGTGGTAGAGCAGCGGCGTATCTAGCCCGAAGGTCGTGGGTTCGAATCCCGCTCATGACACTGACTTTTTTATCTTTGCTAAAAACTTTAATTCGAAGGTCGTGGGTTCGAATCCCGCTCATGACACTGACTTTTTTATCTTTGCTAAAAACTTTAATTAACTGAAAAATATTAACAAGATAACGAAACTTGAACAATAATAACAAATATGCGAAAAACAAGAAGGTAATTTTATCTCCACGAAAAAAGATAAACAAATATATATAAATGGCATAAATAGAACGATTAATTAAACTTCTAATTAATTTTAATCTATTAAACCTGTAACGGTTATAAAATGTCTCGCATGCAAACAATCACAACAAACATATTCATAAATCAAATTTTGAAACTTGCTTTTAATACTTTTTCTCGAAACAGCTTATAGAGCGGATAATTAACCGTATTATATCAAAATACACATATAGGCGAAGAAGGTGTTTAAGAACAAACAAAGCGGAAAAGTGGTAACACACACAAACACGCACGAACACCTACCAAGCATGTTAAAATATGAATATGTAGAAAGAATAAGAAATACTCATGATAAGTAATGGAAAGGAACGAGCACGCTGCCCTGTGAGACACCTGCTAGAATATGGTCTCCGCGGGGTCCATCCTGGGAGCGCCAATTTGGCGCCGCTAAGTTCCGGCGGGGGAATTTGAGCCACGACCACTAGACAGAGGATGCCAGACCGTCACCTGCAAAGCTCTTTTAAGGGCCAAGAAGCGGGACACGAGTAGTGAAATACCTAGTTCTAGAATAGGATGGATAGGAGACCATGAATTTCTGTGGGTAAACAGGCTGACTCCTCCTAACTTAATCTAACCTACTACTCCAACTCGGATCCAGTTACAGGCAACCTAACCCTCCAGACACACCTATATTCTCTTGAACAACGGCTAAAAATATGAGAAATCAAACTAACACCATGAAATCCTAAAAATAACCTCCACCCTCCGTCAAATCACTCTTCCTCCAATGTATTATAACCATACGCCCCTACCTACCAAAATGTCATTCTATCTTGGGCTGAATCTAGAGAAGCGACTGACATGGAATCTTCCGATAAAAGGACAAAAGTGAACCGATATTTTTCTTAAAAGAATACTTTAAAAAAGCAGTTCTATATTTTTCCTACTCCTCCAACTCCGATCCTGTTATAGACAACCAAACCCTCCAGACACACCAATATTCTCTTAAACAACGGCTAAAAAGATGAGAAATCAAACTAACACCATAAAATCCTAAAAATAACCTCCACCCTCCGTCAAATCACTCTTCCTCCAATCTATTATAACCATACGCCCCTACCTACCAAAAGGTCATACTACCTTGGGCTGAATCTAGAAGCGACTGACGTGGAATCTTTCGATAAAAGGACAGAACTGAACCGATATTTTTCTCAAAAGAATACTTAAAAAAAAAGTTCTATATTTTTCCCCGACACCAAAATCCCAATATTCAACTCAATCTATATGAACATACGCCATAAAACAACAATAATAAAATTCAACTACTAAAGTCCACACTAACCTTTAATCCGCATATCAACTTTTCTCCCCTCTTCCCAATAATTTTCCACGACGTTTGAATAGTCTGTGGCTTCGTGACTTCCCTCAGAAAGTGAGATTGTTTATTGGTTGCCAAGTGGCTAGTACGTACGACGTATTTGTCACGATAGAAGTTCTCGGTTCGAATCCCGGCATAGACAATGTCTTTTTAATGGTCAATAATATACAAGTATTGTAAAGCGGTTTGTCACATAGAGGGTAGTTGGGCGTTAAGCCTATATGAAAGCCCAGAAGATGAACTTGAGTAAACAAACAATACGTAGTATAAAAGATTTTCCCATAAAAAGGTCATACACTGTAAATAATTAAAATAATTACCCAGGTAAAAGGAAGGCTAAAATCCAAACACTGATTTTTTTAAAAAGGATATGTTTAATGTATTAATTCATGTTAAATATACGAGGGTCAAAAGAACGGTTAGCGAACTCAGTAAGTTGATCGGACTTACTCAATCGCCGACACGAAACGAGGCCGGTTTTTTCGAAACAGCTTTTTCCCTCTTTTTCGTAATAGGTTGAACACTTTCTTTCTACATATGATGAATTACCTAAGTTGATAATATTGCTGTCTAAAAGACAAGATTTTTCTTAACAAACCTTAATGAACCAATGAGACCATTGATGCTAATCCAAAAATCTAAATTGCAGATGATCAATAAAGGTGCCAAGGTCAAAACGAATAATCAATTTATAATGAACAGTGCGTTGAATTTTTTATCGTCTTGAGATAAAAGACATATGATGAAAATTATAGTGTAATCCTGTAATGAATCTAAAACTAAAAAAGTGAAAATTACTTTTGCATCAATATTGTGTAAAACATAAAATAAACTAATAAACGTTAAAGCTACTTCCTTCTTGTTTAATATATATAATACACAATAAAAGGAAGACGATATGGATGGCTCCAGTTTATCGTAAGAGTGAAAACTTTAAGACGAAAGAGATCGGGGACTTTCGAGATGATTGATGGTTCGCATGTTCGACTTGCCGGTTTATTGCCTTCCATCAATTTGTCCGTACTTTCCGAACTATGCATCTTTGCTCTGAAAACAATAAAATCTGAATAAGTCGGCGAAATCGCGAAACCCGTGAGTTTTCAATAGCCCCCGTCATTACGTCCGATAAGTATTTCCTAAATTTATTTTCTACAGACAATCTTATCGCCGGATTTTTTCCATTCGATTTTAAGTATTTGTCAGTTGTGGGGCTGTCCGATTACAGGTCGATTGAGAAATAACTGTGTTTTCACAACAGCCCTAATGAGCCACCTGTTGGTGCCGACCGATCGGGAATAATGGACTCTCATGAAACGTTGAAACGCCGTTTATCAGTTTTTTCATCGGAGATTTCAAACAAAACATCGTTAATTGAGTTGAACTAAACTTCATTAGCTTCCCGTCAGAAAACAAAAATATATTTACTATTTAAATTAAAACAAAACTGACAGTTCTGTCGGCGTTATTTACCTCTCTGCAGTTTCCCAGATGGAGCCGTAGGCAGAGGGTGTGAGATTGAACGTGTAACGACATTGCTCGGTAAACAACCTCTGGTAGACGTATCTACATAGGCGTTCTTTATGTTGAACCTCTTTCCTGAAACATAATTAGCACTGTGTTTATTTAAGTAAAGACAGAAAGATATTCTAAAATTTAAATAAAATCCATGATGGCATGTTGTTCAATTAGTCGTACAACAATTACAACAAACATAAAACAGCTCCAGCATTAATAAGGTTTACCAGTTTATCATGGAAGTACGAACTAAATATAAAAAATGTATACAAATAATGTTCCATAGGGATTACATTTTTGTAAATAAATAAGAGATTTATAGATACAGTTAATAAATATCCAATCACCAAGTCGGTGAAGAGCGAGAACATACGCAATTAAATTGAGATTAATTTTATATTTGGTTTTCAAAAATATACGTTCAAACCGATTTTATCGACAGTCGTGTCTGACATCTTTATCCCAGAAATACAGCAGAGGAAATGAATTTTTTAAATGTATACGTTAATAATTTTTCCTTGATATAAAATCAATGTTTTTATAACGATAAAATCATTTTTAAAGTAGAAATACGATAATATTGCATCTGACTGTCTGTTTGTTGTAACAAGGCGATGAGACACGATATGACCACAGGTCTCATACTCTTTATCCCTCTTCTTATTCTTATTATCTTTCCCTCACATAGTTATTCTAGCTACTCTTATAACGTTCTTAATTTTCTCCCTATAGATATATACCAAGCCCACCCTTTTACATCAACTTTAATGTTTCTTATCTTTTCTATCTCTCCATCTTTCTTTCCATCAACACATCAATTTTTCTGTTTTTATTCACATATTTTCTTCCTTTTTTGTCTCTTCCGATCACTTTCTCTCTCTCCCTCTTTCTGTCTTTGTTTCGACTTTTTTTCTGTATATATCAACTTATTTCCTCTTTCTGTCTCTTTCACTCTCGCTCTCTTCTCAACTAACAAGCACCTCATTTATCTACATCTATCTTCCCATCAAGACATCAGTTTTTCTGTCTGCATTAACTTAATTTCTCTCATTTTTCTCTCTACCAATCAATATTCCTCGCTCACTCTCTCTTTCTCTCTCTCTCTCTCTCTCTCTCTCTCTCTCTTTCTGTCTTTCTTCCATCTTTTTTTCTGTATATATCAACTTATTCCCTCTCTTTCTGTCTCTTTCACTCTCGCTCTCTTCTCAACTAACAAGCTCTTCATCTATCTACATCTATCTTTTCATCAAGACATCAGTTTTTCTGTCTGCATTAACTTAATTTCTTTCACTTTTTGTCTCTACGACTCTTCCTCAATGAAAGTCCTAGTTCTTAGCAACGAGTACATATCTTGGTGAGGGTTACGGAAAACTGAGGGAAATAGAAGAAGGCTTAGACCAAAGTCTAGCAACAAACCTAAGAATTGCCTCCTCCCTGAAACGTTCCGGAGGAAGGACACCGGCATAATTGCAGAGACTATATAAAGGGTTGTTCTAAACGCCCCTGTTGCAATCCTGATACCTTGGTAATAAATTCTATCTAGAGGTTTTAAAGTTGATATTCGCGCTGAAGAGTAACCTGCTGCTCCGTATCGAAACTTTGCTCCTAAGTACATGCTGAATATTCTTAAAAGAATGTCTCTATTCGCTCCCCAATTGTAATTAGGAATCTCATCAGGCCTAGTATTTTCCTTTCTGAATTAGACAACTGGGCTATTTGAGGTTCCCATCGAAGGGCTTTGTCGAAAGAAACGCCCAAATATTTGACAACGTCGACTTCCTTTATTTCAACGCCAGAAAGGAAAAGCCGAGGTGTTTCATGATGTTATCTTAGTCTACAAAAGTGTACAAATACCGTTTTGGACAAAGAGAATTTGAAACCCACATCATCTGCTTTTCGTGACAATGTGTCAATGGCGTTTTGTAATGTCCTTCCTACGTTTTGGATATTTTTCCCAGACAAGTAAAAGCAAAGATCATCGACATATAAAGGCCTGACTATACGATCTGATAGTCATACTGATAGATACTGATATTATCAGCCAGACCGTTTAGAGCAATGGCAGGAACGAGTACATATTTTGGTGAGGGTTACGGAAAACTGAGGAAAATAGAAGATGGAAAGGCTTAGACCAAAGTCTAGCAACAAACCTAAGAATTGCCTCCTCCCTGAAAAGTTCCGGAGGCAGGACACCGGCATAATTGCAGAGATTGTATAAAGGGTTTGTTCTAAACGCCCCTCAATCCTGATACCTTGGTAATAAATTCTATCTAGAGGTTTTAAAGTTGATATTTATATAAAAATATTTATATAAATNCATATATATATAAATATAAAGAGGAATTGTAAAATAAAGCGAGATAATACCATTTCCATCCCAACCACGATGAGAATAATAAGATAAAGCTGTATAGTTATAGAATAATGAAGCCTCAGGTTACATGAATATTGTATTAAATATTAAATACAATCTGATGAAGGTTTATGTGGGGTAAATTCCGGAATCTGGAGGACATTATATATACATTTTATTATTTACTAATAATTAATTAAATATTAGTATTGAATACCAAGACAATTATGCTAAAATACCACAAATTAATTAAATTTTATATTAATAAGTTAAATACAAATACTAATATATAACATTATTTAGGCAATATATTTAGGCTTTAATGCATAAACTAATACAATTTTATAATTAAAGAAGGAAATATAAATAAATTAGCAAAGAATTGTTGTTTTACAATAATTGTAATTTAACATATTTTAATTTTACTCCAATAATGAATGATCTTTTTAATCATATTATGCACAACCCAGTAAAGCAATCGAACGAGATGGCCCCGGAACCTCCTAATAAATAGTTCATAATAACAACGGTTCCTCTGAGGATGTTTGGAGATAATAAATATTGTATCACATTACATAATGTATATATTTGCACAGACTTTAATTAATAAGATAAAATCATATTCTACAACCTATGACTCCAACTTGTAATTGTTCTTAAATATCTTTTCCTTGGCGCCATTCAAAAGTCATTGATATTTCTACCCAAACATCTCATTTTCCAAACTTTTACGACGGAAAACTCCAACGACCTCTCAAAGGTGCGAAGGTCATTTGGCTAACTGAAAAGCAATTACTGTGTTTACTATGTGAGACGTTTCCGTTTCTCTACTTGACTCTGGTGCTCGGCTAATGAACACCGGTGCATTTTAAAACATATGATCACGCAATTCTGATATGCGCCGTAATTCGATATAAGTATATATACGTTTAAGACGTATCATGTTTTAAGAAAATGCACAAATTTGATATTCTTGAAGAAAAAAAAGAGATACCGCACTATCGGCATGGACTGGATAGGGGCAAGAATTGTTAGGTCAGAATAAAAAAAATATTCCTCTCTCTCAGTCAGTTTATATATTTCTAACTGATTTTACTATTTTCATATTCAATTATTTCTCTGTTACTCTTTCTCTCATATCTTACTACAATCCTTCATCCAATCATTCGCCGCTCTTTCTCATTTTCCATTTTTTCTCTCTCTCTCAAAAGAGTAGGCTCAAATATTGCAATATTTACTAGGTAAGTCTATATAATAATAAAGATGAAGAAGAAGAAGAAAAATAACTTTATTCTGGGAGTGGTACAATGGAATTTATATGAAATAAATAAAAGAAGTTCCTTCTATGAAGTTAAAAGTAAAAAAAAAGAAAAAAGATAGAAATCTTGGCACAATGTATACCAATAAGTCAAGACAGAAGAAAAAAGATCAAGGTAATAAGAAAAATGTCTAATCTGACGAGTTCTAAAACGGACGATTACGATAAAGAAATCTTTTGATTATGCTCACGGCTTATGTAACTCGGAAATGACAACTTTCACCTTCTTTTTTTCGCATCCTACAATGTTATGGATTAGGAATTTAATGCCTTGACTAGACTGGTAGCACCCTGCGTAAATATTTAGGGGAGTCCGAGCTGTGACAACTGTTTAATGAAATCAACACATTAGACGATGTTATTAGAACAATTTTTATTTACTATCCATCTCTATCGAAACTACCGTATGTACTTCTGTTTTATGCATTATTAACGAATTTTCGTTTTGCTGAAAAATATGTGGCAAAATTCAAAACTATATACAATCTACAAAATCGAAATATTCTTTAAAAATAAATTGAAAATGACATTCCCTACATTATTTATTGCGGACAACAGGTAGAAATTTTATTTTATTCGGTTAAATAAATAAAAAACATATATATAATTATTTTCTAACTTTCTATGTCACTCTCCATCTTATCGTTCTCTCTCTCTCTCTCACTCTCTCTCTTTCTACCGCTCTTCCACTTCCTTTTAATTTGCCTTTCTATTTATCTTTCTACCCTGTCTCTATATATGTACCTTTCTTGTTCCTATTTTTCACTGAATATCCATTTTATTATTTCACGGTTTATCTTTTGTCTTATACCCTTCTTTTTTTTCTATTTTCTCCGAATTCTATTATCTAGTAGGATTTCTATAAAATGTTTACTACCTCTTTTGTTTTCCTACTTTCTCTCTCTTTCTTTCTAACTCTCTCTCTCTCTCCCTTTCTCCCTTTAATGTTACATCTTTTTTGCTATTTTGGCTTATTACCACATACTATCACTCTCATGATATTTTTATCTCACTCACTTTATCTTTCTCATCTTTCCCTTGGTCTCTCCTTTCACCGTTCTCTCTATCGCTAATATTTTTTCTCTTTCTATCCTTTCCCTCCCTTTTTACTCTCGCTCGAATTTTATATCCCTCTCCCCCCCTCTCTCTCTCACTCTGTCTCTTTCTCTCTCTCCCTCTCTCTTTCTCTCTTTCATAACTGATTCGTCTTACTCCCTTTCTTAGTTTTTCTGCCTCTGTCCCTTTTCTTGCATTTTCGTTCTGTGTCTAATGGTTAAAAGGTTATGCATACCGTTACCATTATTGGTGTTTTGTACTCAATTATTATTATTACTTCGTTAAGCTTAAGGCATTTTAACAGATCCCAAAGTTTGTTAAGGGCTCCCGTGTGTATCCTTCAGGCCTTGGCTT